ATAAAATTACTATTACATAATACAGGTAATATGTACTTTTTACGGAAGCGTATTAGGGCCGCAGCAGTATCTTTTATTAATTTGTTTTAACAAATTACTAATTTGTTATAACAGATTACTAATTTGTTATAACAGATTACTAATTTGTTATAACAAATTATCAATTTGTTAAAACAAATTACTAATTTGTTAAAACAAATTACTAATTTGTTATAACAGATTACTAATTTGTTATAACAGATTACTAATTTGTTATAACAAATTACTAATTTGTTATAACAAATTATCAATTTGTTAAAACAAATTACTAATTTGTTAAAACAAATTACTAATTTGTTATAACAGATTACTAATTTGTTATAACAAATTACTAATTTGTTATAACAAATTATCAATTTGTTATAACAAATTACTAATTTGTTAAAACAAATTACTAAATTGTTATAACAAATTATCAATTTGTTATAACAAATTATTAATTTGTTATAACAGATTACTAATTTGTTATAACAAATTACTAATTTGTTATAACAAATTATTAATTTGTTATAACAGATTACTAATTTGTTATAACAGATTACTAATTTGTTATAACAAATTATCAATTTGTTAAAACAGATTACTAATTTGTTATAACAGATTACTAATTTGTTATAACAGATTACTAATTTGTTATAACAGATTACTAATTTGATATAACAAATTATCAATTTGATATAACAAATTAATAATTTGATATAACAAATTGGTAATTTGTTATAACAAATTAATAATTTTGATAAAGTGAAAGTGTATACAGATCTATGGAAGCCAGATGAGATCAGAAATCTTTTTATAAGTTGGATTTGTGAAAATAGTAAATGTGCAAGCTCTGCAGCTACAGCTTTTGACCAATATGTTAATCTGGATTTACATCTTTTAGCATTTAGAGTTTTCACTGTCAAACATTATTGTTATAAAGATACAATGCATTAAATTCTTTGGTTACTTATTCTTAGGAGCTCTATTTGAATTTTGTCCTCCTCCCCCACCAGGGCTCCGTCCTTGACTCCCATTTACCAGGTCATTGCATCCCCGTTCGTATGCTAGGAAAAAATATCTTATCAAAGACATGTTATTTGGAGAGGGAATTTTTCCCACCCTGAATCAACATGTTCATTATAATATTTTTTTTTCAGTATGTCTTTTATTTTATTTCATTTTACCCCCCCCCCCCTCCCTCTCTCTCTCGGTTCATTCTATACATGTACCAAATGATTTATGCCTACTGTTCAATCCAGTTTATGTATCATGAATAAAATATATTTTAAACTAAACCGCCGTTCCTAATGCAAAAACCTGAATCTGCTCCTCTGGTTATCCTCCTTGGCCCCAATTTATGCTGGGGGCAATAAAGGCAACATTGATAAAAAATGAATTTGTAGATAAATTATCATAGAAAAATTGATAAACACTCTGTAATAACCTTTTTCTGAAAACGAAAATAAACAATATTCTTGAGTGGGTAGTACTTCGTAAAATTTGAATTTAGATACCTTGTGAAATTTTTTCATGTATGTATGTATTTTTATAATCAAAATACGTGCCTTTTGGAAAAGCCCTCAAAGTCCCACTAAAGCCTTCATAACTTATTATTGGCTGAAAACTTTGACAGTTGTTTCTTCAAATTCATTTGTAATTTGTATCCTGGTTGTCTCATATAGGACTACTCATATATTTTACAAGAAATCGTTAAGCAATATAATTTGTTATAACAATACACACAAAATATTACACATGTGTAAAGAAGGAAAAAATAGGTCTTCTCCCATTTTGACCCCTGTGTTGACATTGAAAAAAGTGTTGATTTGAATGGACGACGTTGAAATCATATTTAATTGTCCGGAACTTCGAATTTTTCTCGAAGGATCCAACATTCTGTATTTCTTCTACATAATCCCTGGATCCAGAGGAGCAGATTCAGGTTTTTGCATTAGGAACGGCGGTTTAGTTTAAAATATATTTTATTCATGATACATAAACTGGATTGAACAGTAGGCATAAATCATTTGGTACATGTATAGAATGAATCGAGAGAGAGAGGGAGGGGGGGGGGTAAAATGAAATAAAATAAAAGACATATTGAAAAAAAAAATATTATAATGAACATGTTGATTCAGGGTGGGAAAAATTCCCTCTCCAAATAACATGTCTTTGATAAGATATTTTTTCCTAGCATACGAACGGGGATGCAATGACCTGGTAAATGGGAGTCAAGGACGGAGCCCTGGTGGGGGAGGAGGACAAAATTCAAATAGAGCTCCTAAGAATAAGTAACCAAAGAATTTAATGCATTGTATCTTTATAACAATAATGTTTGACAGTGAAAACTCTAAATGCTAAAAGATGTAAATCCAGATTAACATATTGATCAAAAGCTGTAGCTGCAGAGCTTGCACATTTATTATTTTCACAAATCCAACTTATAAAAAGATTTCTGATCTCATCTGGCTTCCATAGATCTGTATGCACTTTCACTTTATCAAAATTATTAATTTGTTATTACAAATTACCAATTTGTTATAACAAATTAATAATTTGTTATAACAAATTAATAATTTGTTATAACAAATTATTAATTTGTTATAACAAATTATTAATTTGTTATAACAAATTATTAATTTGTTATAACAAATTATTAATTTGTTATATCAAATTGATAATTTGTTATATCAAATTAGTAATCTGTTATAACAAATTAGTAATCTGTTATAACAAATTAGTAATTTGTTTTAACAAATTAGTAATTTGTTTTAACAAATTGATAATTTGTTATAACAAATTAGTAATCTGTTATAACAAATTAGTAATCTGTTATAACAAATTAGTAATCTGTTTTAACAAATTAGTAATCTGTTATAACAAATTAGTAATTTGTTTTAACAAATTAGTAATTTGTTAAAACAAATTAATAAAAGATACTGCTGCGGCCCTAATACGCTTCCGTAACTTTTACAGTTTTTAAGTAGTACTCTCGTTTATTCCGTTTAAGATCAATGGTCGTTATTTCCATTATTTGATTTCTGCACGGATTTGAATGTATTCCAGAACAGGTGAGGAATAAAAGGCCTTTGTTAGTGGCATAACACTGTAAAGAAGTCCCGTACACTACCTTTTACAGAAGACATTGAATTGAATGAGTCGCAAATCATGATGCTCTACTACATGTTTTTAAAAATACTTAATTCACTACAAGAGAAACATAATTTTTTTTCTTCATCATATCTTTATTTTGTAAAATTCTCTCTGTGTATAATACTCCTAGTATTAGAATCGCAATTCTAATAAGTTTTGAGGTATTTATGTGAATGTCGTCTCTCTATATATACTCCTGTTATTGACATCGCGATGCGAATAAGTTTTTAGGTATATAAATGTGTCTCGTCTCTCTATATATACTCCTGTTATTAGCATCGCGATGCTAACAAGTTTTGAGGTATATAAATGTGTCTCGTCTCTCTATATATACTCTGTTATTGGCATCGCGATGCTAATAAGTTTACATGTATGTAAATGTGTCTCGTCTCTCTATATATACTCCTGTTATTAGCATCGCGATGCTAATAAGTTTTGGGCATTTTACCTTAGTAAGATGTGCCATTTTTAGAGTGATACCCTCCAAAAACTCCAAGCCCCATTTTTTCTGATGAAATCCCCCAAAGAAACTCTTTTCCCGGGAATACTTTCCTTTGTGGAGCTTACGATCTTGATATTTGGAAACGTCGTCTCTTTATATATACGATGCTAATAACAGTATTATGCCATTTTTTTTTATTTCGACTTATTTTGAAATGCACGTTTTAATATAAGGACATTTTTCCCCTTTAATTATTATTTTTCTTTTATTTATATATTAGTACAGAACCTGAATCGTGTCACATCCCACACACACGGTGCATGAACAGTACATGCTCGCTACAAGATTTGCACGAAACACTGCACGGTTTGCACGAAACGAAAAGTGCACGAAAGTCACACACTTTTTGGGGTAGTAGAAAGTTTCAGATCTGTAGTTCTATTTACACATGAAACCAAATCTTAGGAAAATTTAGGGAGGGGGGGGAGGGTAAGCTCCCACGCCCCTGTAAATCCGTCAGTGATTCATTTAAATATACACAGGACTCTAATAAAATTATTAATCAAATATTATATATATTTGATATTACTGATAAACGAAAGACCATTCTCCAGTTTTAAAATTTTGATTTCTGATGTATTTGACACCGATCTATTCGTGCGCTTTTTTTTTATAGCTAGGGTTTGCAGCAATATTTTTCTGATAATAAATTTGTTCAAACTGTATCAAACATGTTTTTTGGTTTCTATATAAGCTTTGGACATGAAGCAAAAAACAAAACAAAAACAAAAACCATGTACAGGTGTATACGTCAATAGGTCAACACCCATAAAATTAACAGAGACTGATTAATTAAGTCAGAGGCATACGCGGGTCTAGAGGGGGGTCGGGGGACCCCTGGAATTTGCAGTTATTAAATGTATATAGTAAAGCAACTAAAAGTGAAAGTGACCTTGGAACACCACGGAAAAGTCATACATATGAAGCGTAAGAAGTGAAGTGGAGCGGCTACCCCCCCCCCCCCCCCTTTAAATGAGAAAAGAGTTTATTTTTTTTATTTTTGTTTTGTGCTTGTCAATAAAATTTTGGGGTTGGATTTTTTTTTTACTGGGACCCCCCCCCCCCCCCGGAAAAATTCCTGGATCCGCACCTAAGAGGAAGCGCTGGCTTGTGGCCAGTCAACAATGATTTATATTCTTTCATATTAAAATATACTTTATTTATATGTAATCATTCTGAAATAATTGTATATACCCCCTGACGGCCCTTGATTGGTGAATAAACATAAACATATACAATATAGCCATGTGACATTTTGATGTTTTAATACTGAACATCGATAACATAACACACAGGATAAAAAGAAAGAAATCTGAATTCAATACCAGTGGTATGTATGGTTTTTTTTTTTATTTAAAAAATCATTCAACTTTGTTGTACAACTTCAAAATGAAAGTATTAGTGATATCTGAATAATTATATATTCAGTAAAGTTGCAAACACTTTTATAATTAAATCTGACATTGAGGAAGAAAATTTGCTGATTTACCTTGACACAAAAATTCTGATTTCTAGTGGCATACACACTATATATCTCCATCTTGTTAAGTGTTCTTATCAGATTGCAATTATATGAACATTTCAGCTACCATTTAGCAGCATTTAAAATGAATATCTTAAATATTCATTAGCTCTGAATACAGTATAACGACCAATGTCTGAAATTTTGTGAGAAAATGACTCAATGTGTTTCTTTAAATAAAGTTTGCATAATAATTCAAGCACGATAGATTTGACTTAATAAGAAAACGATAGAACCTATATTAATGGCTAATTTTGAGTAATAAGAAAATGTCTTATATACATAATTGTCAAAAACTATAGGTATTCAAGCTTGTTCATACCGAAAAAAAGGGGGAAAAAGTGTAGGAGCAAAAGGCAGATTAAAACAAGTGGCTTGTGAAGATGTACAGTATATTTATCTCAAAATGACATTAATATTGATAGTTTCAAATAATACATGTACATAAACTAACATTCTCATCATCAAATTTGTAGTGAAATGCTTGTAAATATACTTCCTTACAAATCACTATGCACACACAATTCAACATTCTATAAACATCACTTTACAATAAATACACCAAAAAAGTAGCAAGTAAATGTGTTCATAAAACAGACACACATACAGGGGTTCTCCCCCTGAGAAATACTTGTAATTTGTCAGAATTTCCTGAAAAAGCTTTAATACTACTTATTACATCACTATCAAAGAGAACAAAGAGAACAATGTATTTTTAGGCAAAATGTGTTACTGTTTTGTGTTTAAATTTGCTTGTGGTTATTTTCACATTTCCTACACAAAATCTTTTATCTGTTTTGGCTTTGTAGTTTTCTCTACAGATTATTTATTCATTATATATGTATGCTTAACATCATTTCCACTACAACTCTGCTGTCAAAGTAGCAAACCTAAATCTGCTTACAGTATAAAGCTGTATAAAGTATATCTCAATAGCCATCCATTTTTTTAGCTTAGAGGTAAGCGATAACTATTTTTGACTTAAAGCCATTTTGACATACGGTGTTAACCCAGTAATATCTAACAGACTGAGAAACACGAAGGTATAAAAGAATAAATACAGCTCAATCTGAAGCCTAAGTCATTAAAAATGGAGCTCCAAAACAGTCAACTTTTGATAGTTTTTCTAAGTTTCAAGATTAAATATGCAGTCTCTCTATCTAATGTTTTGGATACAGTGTGTTTAAATAATGTGTTTGAATTATAATGATATCACTTATGTTGATTATCTTTTCTTCATGATTATAAGTTTAATTTAAAGCTCAATTACCTGGGAAAGGCGTGAAAACGTGACAATTCTAGAATGCTTTTCTCTGTACCATTCAGAGGTTTATTTGACTACAAATTGCATAATTCTATACAAGGAATGTTTCAGCTGTTTTGAAAGATATAGTTATGATAAATCTTATAGGTACTTTCATATAAATATAGGAATGTTTGAACTTGGAGGGGAAGGGGGGTATAATATAAAAATTAAGTTGGATATAACTAATTTTAAGTAAATACAGGAATGTTCAATGGGACAAGTCTAGAAAAAATTCTATTGTCTAGAAAATATATGTACAAGATTGCTTGCAGGCAGGGATGTAGAAAAATACCAACGTACAAAAATATACATGTATGTCTCTATAAAAATACATTCACTTAAAATACTATATGAATACTTTAGAAATATCTATACAATGCAACATGATATGTAGAAAGAACAAACAAAAAGAGACAGAAAACAGAGAATCTCTATAATCATTGCACCATTTCATGTCTGCTGGTATGGGTTACTGAACGAAGCCCTGTTATTTATAAATCACTTGTTCATGTGACTTGATTGTTACAATAGCACTGCAGTTATATGCCAGAGTTTTATGTGTCATGATAATAAGAGTTACATGTATTTCATTTGTTATTGATGATTAATATTGAAAAAATCATATAAAATAAATAAAGTTCTCTTATTTGTAAATAAAACCCTACATGTTTACATATGTAGTTGTATGAATCAAAATGAAGCATAATACATATGTACATGTGTGCAACATGTAGGCAGATATTACTATATATGTACAATAACATTTACTCTTTCTGCAAAAGAAGAATCACATATCCTCATCAACATTCAGGGTTTTTTTCTTTGACGTTGAACATGTTTAGAGTAACAAACAACATAAATATACAATGTAAATTGCATAACAAGAAATAGACACATTGTGTTCCTTTGGAACTATGGGTGATTTTCACAGTAATAATGACACCATTGTTTATTCACTCCCATACAAATAACAAAGTTTATCATCTTAAAACATTGACAAAGATGTAAGAATATTTGAAACATTACAGTTACTATTTTTAAAGTCTACTGCTGTATATTACCCTTAAATCCTTTAAGACAGACATTTTATCTTGTCATAAACTCATGACTTTTGTGTACAGCATCATTTTCAATCATTTTGAAAAAAATAAATCAAGTTCATAAAATTACAGAATTCACTTAGTCAAGTGTTCATGACCCCAAAAAAATGCTAGACAATATTCTAGTTCAAAATACAAGTAACAATTTATGTACCTCACTCCAAAAACATTTTTCGAGAACGTAGAAGCAGGTATCTCCTTTCAATCAATCACCCATGAAGTTATCTGAGGATGAATCTTTCTGAGGACTTTCATTCCCCTCTCTCTTTCAAACAGTTATAAATATAAGCCATCCTCGTTTCCAATTGTGTGAATGTTGGTCTTTCATTTTTACTGAAACATATAAATGGACCACGTCACTAAATGGCTTCTCATCTTCTTTTAAACATCTGCAGTTAATGGAATCACATATGAGAGAATACTTCATTTTATTTTTTCATTTTTAGCTCACCTGAGCAGAAGGCTCAAGTGAGGAGTGTCCGGCTTCTGTCTGTCATCTGTAAACTTTTCACATTTTTGACTTCCTCTCAAGAACCATTGGGCCAATTTCAACCAAACTTGCCATAAAGCATCCTTGGGTGAAGGGAATTTAAGTTTGTTCACAAGAAGTGCCAAGCCCTCTTTCAAGGGGAGATGATTAATAATTTGTGAAAATTTGGTGGCATCTTTTAAAAATCTTCTGGGCAAAAAAAGATAAATCTTATGTGAAAGCTTCATTATATGCTCTAGATTCAAGTTTGTTCATAACCCCCGGGCATAGGGTGGGGCCACAAAAGGGGGTTGAAGTTTTACATAGGAATATATAGGAAATGCCTTTAAAAATTAGCAAAGCCATGATTAGTCATATTATTATAGAAGTATCCTCAGGTAGTTTAGATTCAAGTTTGTTCCAATCACGACCCCTGAGGATAGGGCAGGGCCACAACAGGGGTTCAAAGTTTACCATAGGACTATATAAGAAATATCTATAACAATCTTTTCCTCAAGAACAGCTTAGCCATTATTAGTCATATTAATATAGAAGTATTCTCAGGTAGTGTAGATTAAAGTTTATTCAAATCATGACTCCTAGGGTAAATTAACAGCTGATGAACTAGAAAGACTCCATAACAGAAGAGCAAAGTATAGAAGGACACACCAACAAACAATTAACACTTCTGCAATTTTATAGTGGGAGCATAACCTGAGGCCCAAGGGCTACAATGCCCACCTGAGTCACTTTAACTCTGCTGTTGCTCAAAAAAAAAAATGTTTTTTAAATTTAGAACTATGAACTCTACTGTGGCCCTATCCTTCCCACTGGAGACATGATCTGAACAAACACAATGCCTACCCGCACTGTTCCTAAAAAAAATTTTGTGGTTTTAAAATGCAAAACTATGAAATCTTTTGTGGCCCCATCCTTCCCTCTCTAGACGTGATTTGAACAAACTTGAATCTGCAATACATGGGGATGCTTGCATATTGATATGAATAATACAATGTACCAGTAATAGTCCAGATGTTCTTAAAACTGTAAAACTCTGACTCTATCTTGTAGCCCTTCCCCATACCCCTAGGGGCTATGATTTGATCACTGCTGATTTATTAAAATATTTTTTTTTTACATATTCCCATCTAAAATTCTTATCTTCTGTTGTGGTGGCCCAGCCTTACCCCAAGGGGCTTATTTCTTCACCAAATTTGAATTTGCACTACCTGGGAATGCCTGGATATTAATATGACTACCGGTACTCATGACCTGGATCTTCTTGAGAAGAAGATTTTTACCCATACATGTATATTTCCCTGTAAAACTGTGATACCCTATTGGGGCTCACCTTAGCCTGGGGCTCATGATTTAGACAAACTTGCCAAGAAGCTTTCACCTCAGTTTCACCTTTTCTGGCCCAGTGACTCTTGACAAGATGATCCCACCCTATTACTGCACTTTCTGGACTATCTCCATTTGGAAGAGGGCATGGACCCTAAGGTTCATTATCCCTCTGCTTACTCATATAAAATGTTGCTTTAACCTTTATGATTTTCCAAAAGAAAATGTATCTTATAAGTGGAATGCAAACAATTTAAGCATAGCTTGCAGAACAAAATTGGACAAAAATGACATTTTAACTTGACAAATTTATAAAGGAATAAAAGACATGTATCCCACTAAGAGTTATCTCCCTTATCAGAGTATCAATGAACCTTAAATTAACCAAATATGAATCCCCTTCATCCAAGGATGCTTTGTGGAAAATTTGGTTGAAATTTTTTCACTGTTTCTTGAGAGGTCTGAAATGTGACAAATTAACAGAAGACATGTGAGTGAATAAAGACTATAAAACAGTAACTTACTCATACTTCCAGCAATCTAACATCACTTCATACACCTCCTCTGGACAACGAGACGGCTTTTGTAATCTTTTGTTCTCCTCCACAAGGAAATGTAAAATTTCTTGTCCTTTCATTTTCTTTAGAAGAAAAAACATATATATGTTTATACTTTAAAATATCGATCATAGTAATGTGTTGTTCAAACCAGGACAATGCATGCACAATTATTGTTATTCCATAAAAGCAAAAAAAAAAAAAAAATGGTCAAATTATTTTAACAAAAATTGCATAAATTAAAATATATAACAAAGTGACAGCTTGACCTACTCTGTATGGTTTGTCACCGTAAGATGTCGCCTCCCACAGCGTTACTCCGTAACTCCAGACATCAGATTTACTGTCAAATTTCCAGTAATATACACACTCTGGTGCATACCACTTAAGGGGCCATTTTCCTGCATTCTGAGCCTTTAAAAAAATTACTTAGTATCATGATATATTCAGATATCTTTAAGGTTATTTCTTTTACTTACATGTAGTTAGTACAGAAATACTGGGTAGTCTAAAATAATGAAATCCCTCCCAAATAAGCTAGATTACAACATACATACTACAGCACATTACTGGAAATTGAACTAAGTTCAATCTCCTTGAATTGGCTAAAAGGCATGAAAAATCACTGCGCAGCCAAGTGATTTTTGTATACGTTACACAGCCCCACTTCTGTGTGAGCCAATATACTCAGAAATGTACTCTAACAATCATACACAGGTACATCTATATGACTGAACAATACGCAAGAGTCTCTAGAATACACATTAATAAATGGGTTTTTTTTTTTTGTGAACCCCAAAATATCTTTGTACAGATTTTATAAAGAATCAATTGAAATACAGTACATGAATGAAGCACTTGTAGCATTGTTTGCAATACATTTTGAACTAATTTTAAGAAGTATAATTTTTGTCATTTAAAAAAAACGGAATTATTTTTATTAATTGATTTTTTTTTAAATGATTGAAAAGTTCAAATCCCAGGAGTAAATTCTTTACTTTGATTTGTATTAGAATTCTCGTTAACTATGTCCTATTTTATAGGTGAAAGATGTTACTGAAAGTGTATTACAATCATTTTTAAAATTCACAGAAATACTCTGGTACTGGTAATCACCAAAAAAATTTAGCAATTTTTTTTTCAATAATTTTTTTTTTCAATAAATATTTTTTCTGAAAGTAGTCCTGTGTACCTCATAATAGTTCTGCTCTCTAGACATTGCTTTAGACATTCCAAAGTCACTGATTTTTGCCGTGTGTTCGTCGACCAGTAACACATTACGTGCCGCCAGATCTCGATGTACGTGCTTCTTCTGTTGGAGATACTCCATTCCCTGAGCTACCTGCCACATAATTTCTACAATGTTTGACTGCTTCATGTCTCTGAAAAAAATATTTTAATTCAATTCATCAAGCAGTCTATATAGCTGAGCGGCCCTCTTTGCAAATTAGCTGTACATGTACTCGTGTACATAGTTTACAAATTAATATCAGGTTCACAATGTGAACAGCTCAGTGATTTACTTATCAAACATTCACTTACTTGTTATTCTTTAAGAAGGAATTAAGGGGACCTTTGGGAGCCAGTTCCAAAACCAGCATAACACAATCAGCATCACATATACCTTAAACAAGACAAACAAATCGTAAAACCCTACCGAGCCCCATACAGTAATAAATATGATGCTCTGTCTGTCACTCTGCTCATCAAATATATACATCAAATATATATGCATTTTGGAAAATCTATCTTGACAAGAAAATTCAATTTTTCACTCTTTTTACATCACTTATGTATGAAAAGTGCAATTTTCAAATAAAAAAAAAATTCATTCTGTTGTCTCAAGAGTTTATCTTTCCGCGCTAAGACAGCAGTAAGTAAATATTGATTAAGAAGTATTTGTGAAATAGTACGTATTGGAGAAAATAAATATTTTTAAGACTTTTTGCAGTGATTTGTTATATTCTACCTGATTTCACCCTTTTACTTAACATCCCCCCCAACCTTTCCAGCACTATCAATTGAACACCACATCCCCAAAAGAAATAATTTGAAACAACATAGCCCCCCTCCCTCCCATATACTTAAATATTAGAAGACAGCATAAAGCCCAAATACATGGAATTAAATACTAAATGTCATCAATAGATTAAAGCAGTAACTGAGGTACTACAAAACAATGAGTGAGCAGACAATGTATCTAATAATTGATAATTTACAAATGTTTTGCTATTTCTTACCAATCATTCGAATTATGTGTTTATGATTAAGGTTCATCATAAAACGAGCCTCCTTCAACATCTGAAATGATAGAGATGACTGAATTTTTTTTCACTGAACAAAACTTGATCTAAGAAAAACAAATAAAATTGTAAATCATTAAGATAAAAAACATCAAACTACAACATTTTATTTGTGTAGTATCATTAAAAAATCACCTCTTCTTTGGCACCAACATCTTCATTCTTTAGGGTTTTAACAGCTACTGGGATAACATTACCATTCCTAAGCGTACACTCTCCCTTAGCAACTGAGCCAAACTGACCAGATCCTGTAACATGGTACAGAGAGGATTTATTGTTAAAACATAATACAATGTAAGCTAGGAAAAAAGAACATAATAACAGTGTCCTCAGTACTGGATCCAGCCAGGGAACCCTCACACCAGTATTTTCTCAGTTATATAAGCAATATAATATGTACTAGATACTGTCATAAGACAGTAATAACTGCACATAAGTGTTTGCCTCTAAATGTATACTAGCTCCCTTATACCTGTTACTGCTTAAATTGTAAGAGGGATTACAGGAATTAGAAAGGGTGACAGATGGATGGACGGACCAGGATAACAACAATATACCTTTTTTCTTTAGAAAGTGGGGTATATGAAAACTCTCCCCCCAGGAAACTTGGACCCCTCATTAGTTGGTATAATATGAAGACAAGCAGCCCCTTAAATCCCCCCCCCCATTAAATAGGCTTTTCATGTCTGGAGAATGTTCCTTTTTTTATCATCAAAATTTTTTTTGAGTGAGGGCTTTTCCTCCCTCTTTTTTTATCAATCCTCCACCCCCCCCCCCCCCATTCCATTGGAACAATTTTAGGATCCATTTGGGTACTTTTAGAAGGTCTAATACTTTCTAGAAACAGAGCTCTAATTTATTGTCCATATATGATAGCAGCTGCTAGTGTTTGCATTACTAGGATTAGACACCAGATATATTTCGATCATATTGACCTATGGCTACTGACCTAAATTTTCCTGATCAAGCTTGATTTGTGACCTCCGAAGAGAAAACATTTCCTCATTCCTGGGGACTGTGTCATAAATCTTCATCAGGTTGTTGGCGTCGATGTCATGCATAGACTTGTGTCGCTCTGTCGGTCGATCTATAAGTTTTAATTAGAGGAAATGCAATCAAATAATACATGCATATTGCTCAAAATATCAAAGCTTAATTACATATAACAGGTTGTGTTTGAACTGTACATCACGTAATTCATCTAAGACTTGAAGGTTGAATGGCACAAAATTTGTGTAAATTGTAGCATTTTCATACTTAATAAATAAATCCAATGAAAAACATATTTACATAAAATAATGATAATGCATTAATTGGTCAAACTATGATATTCAACTTCGGAGTATTTAAAGAGTAAAAAAAAATTTTGTTGTAGTTTGACCTTATGATGACATCTCTATGTTCATCATATGCATTACTTTGATATATTTGCAACCTACATGTATTTAAAAATTAAAGTACAGGTTGTTGTGGATGTTGCAGAATATCCTCTGAGGTTGAGGAGTGTTGTTTTGAAATACAAAAACAGACTCTGCATCTGAGAGGTCTTGTCACAGTAATGCAAGTGCAGGAAAACTGTGTTAAGACCTGTCTCTTCTTGAGCAAATATTATGGCCAAAGTTTAAATTTTTGATAAATAGATCAAACTTCTAGGTCAAGATCATGAAGTCAAAAATGATATGTCTTTCTAAAAGGTGTTGTCATAAGTAATGAACATGTAAAATTTGAAAGCCCTATCTTCTCTCATTCAAAAGTTATTAACAATGTAAAAAAATATTAAAAAAGACTGTAGTTTAAACTTTAAGGTCAAGGTCATGAGGTCAAAATCAGGGTACATTTGGAAAAGTCTTGAAACAGGAAATGTACACGTCAAATATAAATGCCCTATCTTCTCTAATTCAAAAATCATCAGAAATGATAACTTCTTTTGAGGTCAAGGTCATGGGGTCAAATATCATAGCACATGTGGAAACTTCTTGTCATGGTAATGCACTTGTCAAATACAAATGTCCTATTTTTTCAAAAGTTATAGGTAATGTTAAGACTTTTGAAAAGTAGGTCAAACTTCAAGATCAGGGGGTCAAAAATCATAGTATATTTGGAAAGGTCTTGTCAGTAATGTACATGTGAAATATGAAAGCCCTAACATTCAAAATTATGACCAAGGTAAACGTTTTTGACAGACAGATGGACAGATGAATGAGATTTAAGGTCCCCTGCTTTTGTGAAAGTGGGGGACAAAAATTTGTTTGGAATAATGACCTTGTTCCTCCCACATTTCTTCATTAATGCCTCGAGGTAGTGGTGGCAATGGGGCTCGGGCACGACTAGATGTGCGTCTTTCACTGCGTGAAGGAGGAACAGCAGGGGGGAAGTCCATACTGTGGACAGGTGGCTGTGGGGCTCGATATGAAGGTATACCTGGTGCATCCTTTTAAAAAAATTCAAAATTTTATGCCAGTCAATTGAGTTGATTTCTTGACAAAGGAATACCATGCAATACAAAACTTCATGCATAATGATTCATGTACATTTACTTTGACCAGTTGTTATACTGTTGTATTAGTTGTCAAGATGTGCTGTGTATTATCAGAAAAATAATCATTAAACTTAAATTTTGCAATAAATAAATGTGATCTTAATGTCTACTGTTTGTACGCTCTAAACTTTGAATATACCATGTATGTACAATATTCTGTCTCAATTTAAGGTCTCACTTACAACTGTGTCCTGGAAGCTTCCATTCCGACTCCTGGAGATCTGTTCTGTTGATCCATATGCTAAATTACTACAGTTATAGTCCATATATTCTGCAAAGTATTATCAGTTTTGCATTGAGTTCAATTTCATTTTTTTACTCTATGATTTTTACTTGTTCAATCTGACATCAGTTATCTACCTGACCATAGTTATCAACCTGACAACAGTTATCAATCTGACACAAGTTATCAACCTGACATCAGTAATTAATGTTGGTTATCAACCTGATATCAGCTATCAACTTGACATCAGTAATCAACCTGACATCATCAGTTATCAACCTGACATCAGTTATAAACCTGATATCAGTTACATGTATCAACATGACACCTGTTCTCAACTTAACACCAGTTAACAACCTGATATCAGTTATCAACCGACATTAGTTAAATGTATCAACATGACACCAGTTAACAACCTGACACAAGTAAACAATCCAACATCAATTATCAACCTGACATCAGTTACATGTATCAACATGACACCAGTTAACAATCTGACATCTGTTATCAACCTGACCATAGTTATCAACATGACATCAGTAATCAACCTAAAATCAGTTATCAACCTGACATCAGTTATCAACATGACCATAGTTATCAACATGATATTAGTAATCAACATCAGCTATCAACCTGACATCAGTTACATGTATCAACATGACACCAGTTAACAACCTAACACCAGTTAACAATCTGACAGCAGTTATCAACCTGACCATAGTTATCAACATGACATCAGTAATCAACCTGACATCAGCTATCAACCTGACATCAGTTACATGTATCAACATGACATCAGCTATCAATGTTGACATCAGTTATGTATCAACATGGCTTCAGTAATCAGCTATCAACCTGACATCAGTTACATGTTTCTTCATGACATCAACCTGACATCAATTATCAACTGACAGCATTTTGCAACTGACTAAAACAAGAGGCCAATCGCTCACCTGAGCACATTGGCTAGGGAAAAGCACAACTAAGTTCAGTTTACAATGGGGGAAGGGGGGGGGGGTGAATTTTAAACTTCCTGAAGATGCTTCCATATCAATATAACAAATGGCCCTGCTATTCTTGAAGCAAAGATATTTAAAGATTTTTTCCCATATATTCCTTTTTTTCCCTATATATTCCTATGTAAAAATTTAATCCCCCATTGTGGCCCCACCTTACCCCCTGGGGTCATCATTTGAACAAATCTGAATCTACTCTACCTGAGGATGCTTCCATTTCAGTATGACTAAACATGGCTTTTCTATTCTTGAGAAGAAGATTTTTCCCTACATATTCCTATGTAAAACTTTGATCCCCTATTCTGGCCCCACCCTACCCCCAGGGGTCATCATTTGAACAAATCTGAATCTACACTACCTGAGGATGCTTTCAAATCAATAGGACTAATCATAGCTTTGCTGTTCTTGAGAAGAGGATTTTTAAAGATTCATTCCTATATATTCCCCTGTAAAACTTTGATCCCCAATTGTGGCTCCACCCTACCCCCAGGGGTCATCATTTGTAAAAACTTGAATCTACACTATGTAAAGAAGGTTTCACATAAGTTTCAACTTTTTTTGGCCGAGTGGTTCTTGTGAAGAAAATTTTTTAAACATGCCATCAAATTTTCACTATTTCTGAATTATCTTCCCTTGAATGGTTTGTGGCAAGTTTGGTTGAAATTGGCCCTGTGGTTCTGGAGAAAAAGATGATATTGTGAAAAGTTTACAGCGAGGACAACAACGATGACAAGAACAGACAACGGACAAATTTTGATTAGAAAAGCTCACTTGAGCCTTCAGCTCAGGTGAGCTAAAAATACATCTATAATATAAAATATAAATATAATATATATTATATATAATATAATATAAAAATATATCTATAAATATTGCAACTCCAAAAAACAGTTTTATCAGTACAAAAATTTACACAACAATTTTATATCAAAAATTTAAGAAAGAGACAACAAAATCAAAAATATTTCCCAATGAATTGCTCATCAAACATGTCAGAAAGACTTCAAAAATCACAAAAAATGATGCTTACTTCTCCATTTGCCTTTGTCAAAATTTGGAGCTGGACAGGGGAGGACAAGCTTACATAGAAGTCCGTCTGCCTTGTTGTGGTAATGATCAATCATCTGTTGAATACACAATTACATCTTCACTTTAATTTCTTAAATTTCTTGTATGAAGTAAAACATAAAGGTATACAATAATTTCTTTTTTCATTCCTGTTGCTCACAAATCTTTCTTTTTTTCTCACTAGAAATTTTCAATAGAATCAAATATAGACAGAATTTTTTACCATCATTATACAGTCAAATTTTGGTCCTCCTAAAATGTGAAATTTATCTTTCTTTTCAATCATATAATGTCGAGCTTCTCCTTTATGACTTAAAGACAGGGCAAATGTTTTCCTATCTTCTCGAAGACGTACTCTGAAAAGATAAAATTTTATAATCGAATAAATAAGGAATTTTCTATATAACAATCAACTGCCACTTTTCACTGCCAATACCAACTGCTTACTGTCACTGCCAATCACGGACTGCCACTGCCAACTGTTGAATGCCAATCCTGACAGCTGATATTGCTACTGTATTATATTCAATATGTGTACATAAATAAACGAGAGCAAGTTGGAGGGAGCAGTTTATCCCATGGACAACAAAACATACAAATCCGAAATTTCCCAACAAGCAAAAGCTTATTTAGAAAGGGTGGGGAGTTGAGGGATAGGTAAACCATAATGCATGTATAAATGAAAAAGAAAATAAGGAAACCCAATTTTCTTATGGTCTACAAGACTGTAGGAGAGGCCAGTCATTCCAGTCAGAGGGTGGGGGCTTCACATCCAGTAAACATTTTCCAGGATTTTACTTAGGATCAGCAGTTAAATTGATTAAATCCAGAGAAAAAACACAAATATTACTGTATAACGTAAAATGTTTTATTTTCTTTACAGCATATATTTTTCTGTACTATGCTACATAGTAATCCTTTTTAAGAATCATACTAGACATTGAAATATACTATAATGTCTTTCTTAGAGTCATTGTTCTGATTACATAAACCCAGTTCGAACAGTGTACATTCAGAATGAGGATGACAAGGGCATAAAATAAAATATCAGAATGTAAAAAATTTGTGATATACCAAAAAGCCCTTCTCTTTTCTTCTTTTAGGCCCCTTCCCCACCTTTTAAAATGATTAAGGTCTGTGTGGTGATGACTAATACTCAGTGCCCAATTTCCAAGTCACCCGTACACTATGTATACAAGAATCTCCAAAAATAATCAGATAAATGTAAGTTGTCCAAAACTTATTTTGCAACTCACAAGAATTTCCCATCTTCATGACCGTCAGCTGTCAGCCTCTTGTCGGCTTCGTCTCGACTGATGCTTCCGTGAAACCAGGGCATCTGTGTGTGGAGGTCCTTGGCGACCATTACCATCAGATGGTCCCTCTGGGCACCAAGTGCTGTCTCCATTCTTACATTCTAAACATAAAAACTAAATTATTATCAAAGATGAACCCCATACAGTCTTCAGATCACTTTCTTGTTGTAAAACAGTTTTTCAAATTTCAACAGTTCAGTTGACATTTTAATGAGATTGTTTAGTTTCCTACTTGTATACTTTTACTGACTCAGTAATAATGTTTATTTATTACACACACATGTATCTGGTTAACACACATGAACAATACAAGCAGAGATGCTGTCTTGTTTAAGCTTACCCATTGTAATTTAGTCACATTATCCTTCTGTTCACTCAAAACAAATAAAATCTTACTTATAAAACACTATTTAAATGATTTTCCTACAGAAATCTGATTTATAATTAAAAGGCATACAATTTCAGCAGACCTTGTGGGGTAAGTTTTGAAAGAAATGCCCTTTTAACTTAATTATTTTATAAAGGAATAGGAGTCATTTTACCCAGTGAAAGCTATCTTTCTTATTAGAGGGCAATAAACCTTGACTGTTTCAAAAAAAATCTTTAATGCAGTATGTAATGTAGTGCATATGGGTATAGACATAAAAGGTTGTCCTATTGCTCAGAACAAGATAAATCTCAGTTTGGGCATGTTAAATTATCAGTGTACTTCTCTGATTGAGCAAGTGAATATTTCTTAAAGCATGTGCACAAAAAAAATATAGAACACACCTTCATTTTTTCTGCTTTTTTCAGCAATTCATTCTCCAGATCCGTATAAGTCATTCCCCTGAAAGCAATAGCGGGTTGAAATTTGGAACGGTTACATGGTTTAGTTGGTTTTGTGACAAATCCATCGATTGTAGTTTTGTGGTGCTCAATAAGTTCCAGGGGACCTGGAAAAGGTTTTCCCTCCGCAATCATGAACTGTCCATCAAGACGTTTCTCTATACTGTAATGGTGAACACTATAAAGGGATAGAAAATGTTACTTTTGGAATATGCTAGGAAACTATGTTAATGATTTACATATGAAACTCAGAAAAACAGAGAGATTATTCTAAAATTATAACATAGCTGTTGACTACCATCTGACAGCAAAGTTGGTTAAAAAATGTAGTTTGGTATTTTGATACACACCTTTAAAGAAACATTACAGTCTGAAGTGTATTTGGTTGTTAAGGAACAATGTCTAGATTGTGTTTAAACTTTGAAAACTTTTCTGCACATTATCTTGTTTAAGCAAAATACAATTTAGCCTAGAGTATGATCATATCAATTCAAAAATTAGTTGTTACTTGTTATTGTGGCAGATGCTAATGGCGTAGTTCCCGAGGGGACTAATGCTTTCTCTCAACAGAAACAATCCCTCTTCTGTGCCCCTTTCCCTTAGAAACCATTCAGCTTCCTCCCTTGTAATCCTCCCATAGAAGAAAGGGGCAGCTGATGGCTTGTTGAACTTGGCTGCCATGTCAATTATTTCTGATTTTCTACTTGCATTCTGTCAAACACCTACAATTTTTGTTTGAAATAGGTGAATATTATGATTTAAAGTGAGTAAGAGTAGGTACATATTAACTTGGGCAGACAGCGACGCCTAGCACCACTTGCACTGTAAGCCCCAACTCTATAAAGACCACATTTATGAACAGAAGAAATTTGGGTTGAAATTCAAAGCTTGTTCAGAAATTTAGATGGGACTGCGTGCAACAATTCTAAAACTCGCAATCTTTTTTACTGCACACAGAAACACTGTTGCTTAATCATAGCAACAACTTACTTGAACAGGAGTTACTAACAAGAATTTATTGCAATTTCCATGCCAAATTAAAAACTATCATTTGCATCCTCACTAAACAGACTAATTTTTGCTGAGTACAGTATTTTGCTATAGTAAATCTTCCTTTAGATGCTGGTCCCCCCCCCCCTCCCCCCACTTTATGATGCTGTAAGGTTGAGCACTGGCAAATTCCAGGATTTGGACAGTAAATTGGCTCTTTACTTTTTTTGGCTCATCTCCCCCCCCCCCCCCCCTTCCACTTTTGGTCAGTTTAGGTTTGTTTGTTTTTTTGGCTTGTCAGATTTTTTGGGGAAGTTGCCCCCCCCCCCCCTTTTTGAAACTGTTGCTACAGGCCTGTATCAACATGTTTTGAAATAGGGTGACTCATGCAACTTTTTGGTCACTAAACTCACTTCACATGAGTACAGGTATCTTTTGTAAGCAATAATTGCAGGAATTAGCCCAAAGTCAAGGAAATATGAATAAGGATACATAAAAAACAGTTCTAATCTTAGAGCAATATATATACTCTAACACTAATTATGTTTCATGCTTTACTCCTTTGTCAATATATTGGCATGTTTTGACATTAAGCCGATTCATGCAAGTTTTTGGTCACAAAAGGCACTTGGTAGTGACTTTTATACGCAAAAATTTCATGAACTAGCCTAAAGTCAGGAAGATTTAAGAGTGGACTTATAAAATAGTTCCAGTCTTAAAACGATATACTCTAAGTCTCTAACCCTAATCACTTGATCAAATATGTTTTGTTTAAGCGAGGGAAAATGATGGTTGATGTACATTCTGCATATCAATGGGAAGGGAAATAACCACTCAAGCGCAGTTGTGTGGTTCTGGTGCGGGGACCGGCATAACTAAAAATTTGTAATGTCATAAGCAGTATGCAAAACAGCATTTGGGAGGTGTAGAATTCCTCAATTATTACTCATATGAAACTGTACTCACCCTAACAATTTAACCGTCTGACATATTACATGCTAGTACACTAATTGTCTTAATAATGAAAGGTATGACACTCTTTTTTTCTTTGAAACAACCAAAATTTTCTATATGTACTTAAAATAGTGGCACTTCATGCTTACCATGTATCAATGCCATGTTTTCATTTCTTAGCAATAATGAAAAGTAAAACATTGCGTTAACATTGCTACATAAAAACTACGTATTTAAATGATTTTGTTCTGATTACACAAACACCTTCACGTGCATTATGAGACCGTTTGTAATCAACTCAGCGAATGTAATGTGGTCGTAAAATCACCCTACACATACCAACAAAGAGTCACATAATTCAAACAGATTGGAAAGCAAAAAGAGCCGTGTTCAGATAACAGATAAAATTCCAACAAAAGCATTCACACAATAACTTTTTCTTCCTCTTCATCAAGGAAGTGAAATAAATATTGACACAGATAAACTCATGCAAGTGAAACAAAATGTTTCATTAGCTAAGCCTAGAGTACATGAACCAATCAATTTTAACTTTACAAACCATAGGAGGAAGTTCATTCTCGTTATATCATACCAAATTTATTCGGATAAAATTAATCTTTGACCTCTTAAACTGTTGCGTTAAGTAAATAGTCATAAGTTTAATCGTGTTAAGTTATCTTTTCCTTATTTTGTGTAAAGGCTAATGTTAAATAAAATAGATGCAACTAGGAACTGAGAAACCGATGTTGATGCAGCGTTCGCCGTTTGAGAATCTTTAAATTAGGATTGAAACTTTATCACTCACACTCATGTTATATCAGTGTTTAACATATCAGAATTGAATAAAGCATATTTGTAAATTTAACAAGAGTCTAAACAGTTGTATGTCTCTCCCGCCATAAATCACATGAAAACACTTGAGGTGTTCCGAAGGGCGAGATTAGGGTGAGGATGATGGTGAACAGAAACTGAAAAGGGAGGATGGCATCTCCTACGTTTTTCAGGGGTACATTTACTTTTGTTACTGAAGAAATATTTATATCCAGTCATTATTTTCTACGAGATGCAGTGTATTTGTTGTGAAGTTTTAAACATGTGGTGCATTTTAAGTAAAACGAAAGTAGTCAAAAAAGATTTGACAGGTTGGGGCCAATTACCCAAAATGAGATAAAATAGCCTGATTGAGACAGTATTCCAAATGAGATATAAATTTAATGTGCAAAAAATGGAAAATTTTGTAAAATTGCATAAAAACACATAAAAGCAACAACTTTTGATGAAAGAATCTCTCTATTCCAACTGGTTATGACAATTCCATCCCACAGGAAATCCAAACCTTCTTGAGGATCAATCTCACAAACTGTAGGGTTATTTAAAAAAATGCATGCTAAAATTTACTGCATTCAGTGAATACTTATGCAGATTTAAAAAAAATCAACAAATTTTTGTATCTTTTTTGCACAGTAATTTTTGTCTCATTTGGGAGCATATCATTTATCTTAAATGAGCTATGATCTCTATTTACCCTTTCGCAATAACTGCGGTACTGCTCTTTTGCAGGGCAAATTAATAAAGTCTGGCAAAGATTTGCTACCAGATAATTAAATGACATTTATGAAACAACTGATGTTATGTCTTATTTCACCAAACTATATCAATTTGTTCTGCAATACAGCACCACAGTTATCCCAACACAGTCTATTGGGCGATGGTTCCAACCTGTTGCAATGCATTACTTTTAGTAAGGACTGGTTTGTGAATTATTTCATTCAGTTCCATCTTACCCTGATGCATCTCCAATCAAACTCAACATTGTCACTATTTTATGTGTATGCTATAGACTTTCATGCTTACTGTTAAAAGAAAATGAAAAATTATCAAGCCTGATCTGAGAGATAAGAGATTTAAAGTGGGGGAGGGTAGTGGGAGTATGGGGAAGGTAAAATGATTTGAAGGCAAATGATAATGGCAAAAGGATGGGATATAAAATGTGATCAAAATATATATACTTTAAAAAATTTTTTTTTTTTGTTCTAATTTATTCATGAATGGAAGGAATCATGGTAATTCAGAAAATTAGCGCATTTTTATGGGGGAAAACATATTCATGTCGGGAATGCTCAGAGTATTAAGTTATCACATTGAAAACATGCTCAGTGAAGTTAATCATCAATGTTGGCCTACATTTAGATCTGGAGAAAAGATATGCCTTGATGAATCTCAAGAGAATTATCGTTCGTTTGCTTCAAAGCAGTATTGTAATATTGTAGAGTGTTGGATAATGAACAATTTGTGATGAAATGTGTAGAGGCTCATTAAGGGGGATGTGTAGTGGGCAGATCTGATCATCTGATCGTAGCTTTATCCTATTAACATGGTGTGTAGGTACCAGATCAGATAAAAACAAGATGGTTTGGGTTAAATATGCAGAGCAGAAGTATATATATCAGAAAAGTACAGATATTTGGTTTCATTGTCCATTAAAACAGGGGTGACACACGAGCTAATGCGTATTATGTAAGTTGTAGCAATCAGTTTGGTAATGCATATTGCAGGAGAGGAAGTCTGATACATAGCATTGATACTATATAGCTTCACTTCTCTTACCTGGTCATGTCATATGTGATATTGTGGTGAATTGAGTGACATTTTTTCTGGAGCTCGGAGTCCTTGGACTCATGTTTACAGTGGATCATAGGAGAATTAACGGAGGAAGTATCTGTTCAATGGAGCATGTGTAAGATGGATTAACTATTATTACTAAAGTCTCTCCACTGCTGCTTGCTTTTACCAATCAATTAAAAGATATTTACATTTAGAAAACGGCAAGATAATTATTTGGCTTCTTAATAATTGATGCACAACTGCTATTAAGAATCAAGTACTGGAATCTACTGAATGTTATGAAGAGCTGAATAAAACTCTTGCAATCACAGAAATGTGTGAAAATGGTTGAATATCTAAGATGAAGATCGAGATACCTAAGACAAATTGTTCAAGGTAAAGCATTGCTATGATGAGCAAGTTGAAAGCCCTGGAAGAGAAATTGAAAAGGATCGCAATGACAAAAAATAGATAAACAAATAATGCCTAAATGTCAGAAGGATGATATTGCGGGATATATACACAAACTATTGTTATAGTGATGTGAAATGGATGAAGAAGTCTCGGAGGAATTGTTAAAATCGGAGGAAAATGAGACATTACAGGATAAAGAAGATAGTGTATCGAATAAATACATGCCCCAGCCCCAGAATTATGTTGTACCTAGTGTTAAGAAATCTAGGTATCAGAGATTAAGTAAAGAGAACAAACGTAAGAAGCCCAAGTGTTGCTGCCTGTGCTGTGTGGCTAGCCAGGAACAGCCATTAGAGGATGTTCCCATCCATGAGATATGTACATGGAAGGAGACATGTCCTAATACGTCTCTTGGAGAAAATGACCAGCAAACTGCCGGAGACTGCAATGAAGGATGGACACAAGCAAAGGTCAGAGAAAACAGTAATACTGAACAAATACCGGAAAGGAGAAGACAGAAGATTTCTGTGGGAGAGAGTCTCCAATCAGGTGAACGTCAATACTTAATAAAATCTCCTTTCCTTGTTTTAAAATGATACAGAACTTACACAGTGTTTGCATGTTGGAAAAAAATTATAGTGGGAAGAAGTTGTCTTTATTGATTTGTCTGTTTTGGTGGTCTGTATAGGGGATGGATTACTGTGAAATTTATTTGCCCTTTTGTTTTCATTTTTTCCTTCAGACTGAGAATTGATTTTTATAAAGACATACTGCAGACATACTTTTTCCCATTGCGATAAATTTACACTATGTACATTGCCACAAATTTTCCACAGAAATTTGTCACAGTGTATTTAATGTGCATTTTAGACACACAAAGGCAATCCAACAACAGTCTACCCACGGATTGAACAGAAATTGTGTTTCTGCAAAATTATGACCCTGTGGAAAAGAGTATGTTTACAGTAATTGAATTACAACATTGTCATTGATGTAGGTTATATGAATTTGTTAAATCTCCTTACTGGTGGTTCGGCTTGATGTGCTTTTGGGATGATTTCTTTTTTTCAATGCCAAGGTTGAGTTTGAAATGAGTACAGTGAGATTTGTTGCGTTTGCTTTTTCTATAAACTTTGGAAGGTTTTCAACTTTTTCAGAACCACTTTGTAAGTTCAATGGTTTGGTGATAGGAATTCAAATTAAGTCAATCAAAAAGCTATGTCTACTTTTATGAAAAGGTAATTTAGAAATAAAGGAAACATATACCGAATCTTTTTGAAAATTTTAAGTTTAAGTGAACAATCTTACAGTGTTGTATTTAGCACAAAAAGTGTTTTCACAGTACATGTACTGTTTCATCTTCATCTGAAATTAAACGTAAGCCAAAAATTTGTCTTTCTGTAGGATGAGAAAACTGGACTTCGCGCTTCAAGATATTGATAAAAAGGCTTTTAAGTAAAACAAAATTACATGCAAGCATCGATTCTCTTGTAGTGCTCTTATGCAAGTCTGTTGAATGCAATTAAAGTAAAGACAAGGCCATAATGAAGATTCAAATGTTTACAAATCAATGTGTATATTTAAAAAACTTTGAAATCTCCTCACTTAAATAAAAAATCTACCTATTGTCAAAATAGTATGGTAGTACAGTAAAACACATTTGTAGCAAACATGCTCATAATTAATGCTTACAGCAAAGTGGTTTTCATTCCCTGTGTCTCTTCTAAATATATTGTGAGCCTGATGGATATAACGACTTGTGCTTATAACGATGTGAAATCATCCATCCCTGTCAGTCTCCACTATAAGCAAGTTTTACTGTATATATTGTTTGGATTCAAATTTGTCAAAATAATTATTTATCCCCATGACTGGGATGGTGATGATTTGCAAATGGCAATAAAATTTTTACCTAGTATACATGTACTTTACTGTATAGGTAAAAAAAAAATCTTAATATAATCTTCCAGGCATAAACAAATTATCCAAATTTTTTGAAATTGATCAGCAAGTTTTCTCAGTGTTCTAATCATGCCTCCCTATAGCTAAGATGGCACCATTATAGGATTAATATGTGTACACAGGAAGTTAAAAAGTATCCAGAATTAAACAGTATACATATACCATAGGATGTACGTATCTCGACAATCTTCTTGTTATTTGAATTTTCCATGGGCTTCATGTATTTATTTATTTATTTTTTAATTTTTGATAAATTTTAAAATGATCAATTACATATTCCACTATTTGATTTGGTAACAACAGTAGCATCCCTCGTGTTAATTTAACTCGGTCATGTGAGTTTGGCACAAAATGATGAAGATAATGATGGATTATTTGTTAGATATTGATCATTAGAATCTCTCCACTGACTTTCTCCTGTTTTTGATAATCAATACATAATCAGTCATCTGTGCATGCCATTCTCATAAAACACTGAAATTTAACCCATTTAAGGTACTCAATAATTAACTTCCCCATGTAGAACAGTGTTAATTCTTGAATAAATTATGTGCAATGCACTCTTCAGTACAGTTAGTTTACATACCTGTGGGTAGGCCATTCTCAACAGCACCCCCAGATCAATACGCAAGTACCTCCCTCTCTGGGAACTTGATCGACGGACCTGTAATCACATGTTTACCTCTATAAAGATGTATTGGAACAATTGAGACATGCTTGACACTCTCAAGAGCTTTCCCAGACTGCCTCAGTGAATCACTACATGTGTGTTTTTTTTTTCCTGTGCAAGGGGGATAACTCTAAGATAAACTATTGGCGTGAACATTTTTTTCCCATTGATCATTGTGAGTGCTGTTAATTGCAGTGCATTTGTCGATTAAATGATGGCTTTTCTTGTAATTTCACTGTCACTGTGTTCCAGTGGTGGGTAAATGTTCTGGGGGATTATTGGATGATGTGTGGCATATTGTCAACACAAAAACGGTGATTGGAAAACTAAAAATGAAGAGGATATCTGCAAATTTT